CACCCATTTTGTTTCCATTAAAGTAAATAATTATGAAAAAATGGCAAAATGATGACAAAAATGGACTCCGAATTTCAGACACCCAATTTGCTAATGCAATGGGACATTTATAACAAAATGGCAGAATGATTATCAAAATGGACTCCGAATTTCGGACACCCATTTTGTTTGCAATAAAGTAAATAATTATGAAAAAATGGAAAAATGATGACAAAAATGGACTCCGAATTTCAGACACCCAATTTGCTAATGCAATGGGACATTTATAACAAAATGGCAGAATGAGTATCAAAATGGACTCCGAATTTCGGACACCCATTTTGTTTCCATTAAAGTAAATAATTATGAAAAAATGGCAAAATGATGACAAAAATGGACTCCGAATTTCAGACACCCATTTTGTTTAAAATAAGGCAATTGTATGAAAAGGGCAGAATGGTTGCCAAAGTGGACTCCGAATTTTGGACACATATTTGTTTGCAACAAAGTAAATAATTATAACAAAAAGGCAACATGATTAATACAAAAAGGAACCCTAAATTTCAGGCATTTACATCTTGTTCCAAATGGAATCATATAGTAATAGGAAATTGATTAGTAATAAGAGAGTCAACAAATCTTAAACAACTATTTTATATTGGAATAATTATTAAAAAAAAGACTACCTAAAAACCTCAACAATTTGCAGAAGTGTGTTTCCACAAAGCAGTGCTATAGTAAATTGTTATACATTTATTGTATAATATTTGACAAATTCAGTAGTGCACAATGTATTAAAACTTACATCACATGCATTCAGTACCCAACTGGCTCTTTTGCTCCACAGTCCACGCACATAAAGAATAAAATCCCTGCTTACCTAAACTACAACACACTGATATTACATGATAAACACACAACAGACAGGGTCGGATTGAAACAAATTTATAGTAAAAATTGCAACTAAATATATCCACATCAGTTCATCAGATCTAATATATTTAGATCAGATCTAATCCCCGAGCGGGCGCGGAGCGCCTGCGAGGGTACTAATTCCGCTCGGAGATTAGGAGTTACACCCGGAACCCGGTAGAACATAGCCGAATCCAAAGTTGTCCAAATTCTTTGTCATGGACGGTCGACGTTGGGTGGTTTTGTAAGTTATGCGCATGCGCGAGTAACGTCTGGTAATCAACGAACGTTCTGATTGGCTAAGACAGAAAGTTTGTATTTCAATGAGAACGTCAGCAATTTAAATTAACTGTCATTTCGCATTTGGTAAACATTTTTGTAATTTGTAAAAGCGTTTCATAAACTTTGTGCAAAGAAAGTAAGACGAGAAGAAACAAGATATATGAGGCATGACAGTTAGCAAAGATGAACGTGGATACGGTCAAGACAAAGCCGTGTAAGAGGAATAATTCATAATCTGCAAACTTATAAATGTTTTCAAAGACAAAGGGTACGTGTTTACTTTGTTTGTATTTGTTTCGTAAGTATTGTATACTTTTCAGCTTTGTATGGCGTTTATTTGTAAAATTTTCAGCTTTTTATGCAAACGCAAAAACCTGTGAAAGGCTATTACACCTTTGCTTTAACTTCAAAAAGTGTTTTTGAAAGTGTAATTTGAATTTTGGTATCAAAAATACACACTATATTTACAAAGTATAAAACTTTTAGCCGCCGGTGTCGACTGCAATTTTAGAATAAAATAACATTTGAAGTTTTTTCTTTGTCTGTGAAGATTTTGTACTGTTTTAATCGTTTGAAACTTCGATTTTAAATCGTTACTTAATTGCTGGCATGGTATAATGCAGCAAAATTGAACGGGCAATGTTTACACTAGCTTTATGATTATTTTTGTATCGAATGATGGAAACATTAGCTATAATATACTCGGTAAAATATAATAGGACTGATTTGAGTTTTGTGTCATTTCATAATATAAGTTTAGGTCAGGTTAACTCAGGAAATTGTGTACTTGGTTTGAAATAGCGAGGGGTTGCTGCATGCATGTATTTCTAGTATATTCAGAGATCCAGGCTACAAAATAAATATGTGTTTGAATCGTGTTTTGTGTATTTTAAAAACATGTATGGCGAAGAAGGCAAACAAAGTTTTACAAATAAAGGTTTTTTTTTAAATATTACTGAATGTTTCTTTGGTTTCGCCAACTCGAAGCTTAGAAGGTTGTCCTATACTGAAATTATCAAGATCTGATAGGTGAATCAGTAGAGCCATATGCATCAAATACCGGTAAGTGAGCACGAGTCTTCTGCATATAAAATAACATTTATTGATTTATAAGATCATAGGGCAGCCCAAAAAAGCGTGTTGATGACAATAAATAAACCGAGTAAATACTGTATACGCAAGTGTTGCAACACTATATTTTGTTTAGGTTATAAATCGAGTCATGGCAATTTCTAATGCTCATTGATACACAGTAACAATACTCCGTATGCATTAGGACATCAAATGCTTCATAAATACCAGAATTTCCTGCAAGAATTATAATAACACATATTGCAATTCTCTCAGGGAATGCTGCTCTTAGTGTTCATACAGAAATATTTGACATCGTATTAAATCCATATAGGTCTATTAGTTGTTGAAGCCTGAAGGCAAGGTGTTTACAAGCCCATATCCTGAGCAGAAGGCAAGTAGATATGAGCTGTGGCGACTAATTGTTTTAGTGTAAATTTGGTATTGAGAATGGTTAAATATACAAATGTTTCACAAATACATTTTGGTACTTCATAAGGTTCTCATATAAAAAATATTGGGGCGCAGTATAGTTCCTTTTCCCTCTAATGGTTAGGCTTTTTTTTGTGATCTCTGTACCATTTTTTAATAAATTTTCTGGTGTTTTCCAGCAAATGATTTTTGTCATCAAGTTCGAACGCACATATTATAATAGCCGCTTTGGGAATGGTATCCACCCATGGTGTTGGCTCATCTTTACTATTCACAATGTGGGGTTCCCAAGCAGTGCTATAACTTCCCTTCCAGTATTGTAAACAAAATTCATCATTTCCAACCTCCGTTACTTTCCCAATGACTAGCCTTTTTTTGTAGTTGGATATATTTACTGCCACAAACACATCAGGTTTCAAAGCAGCCAAGTAATTATCATCCATATTTATGCCCCGGGAAGCTGGAGCTTGATATGAGCCAGTATATATCTAGGAAAATGTAAAATATAGAATAATTTGTATATTTGCTACGCGAAACTGCATAAGATTAGGGTTCCATTGATCAGCATGCTCATACTATAGGAGTTGCCATTTCAGTGCTACTTTCTGTAATACATTACGGCTTTGTTTTTTTCATTTCTCACAAATTTAAAGCAGTGTGGTTTGACATTATTGTGTAAGTCCTCACTGTGACCATCCAACCACTTCTTGATATCATAAATGCATGATAAACACTCAGATTCTGGGTATGGCTTGTTACAGCATTCTTCAAATGCTTTTCTTATATTTAAAAAAAGAAAAAGAAAATATTCAGAAAAAAACAATTAATGGCTTGTTAATATTTATCTGTTGGCTGATTGCTTCATTTATTGGTGCAAAAAATCAATGTATGCACTGTAAGCTGATGATTCACAAACAAAAAGCAAGCACATGCATAAGCCCGAATTCAATAGTTTTTTAATTTAACCATGATAACATTCACTAAATGTCAGATACTATGACAAAAAGTTGAACTTTGAAACAATGCTTAAAAACAATGATCTTAAATTACTCAAATATAAAAGAATTTTTTACATTGTAAAGGGCAATTTTGGTAATCAATCAATTTTGGTAATCAGCTTATCTGTATTATTTTGTCACACTGTATGTCAGCAGAATAGAACAAAATCTAATTGTATGGTAATTGTTTGTGTACAGTATCAGACAGAGGGTGCATGGTCACATGCAGTCAAATCCATGTTGAACATATACAGTGTGTATGCCTTTCTATTTTAACATGTGAACAATATATATACACCCAAGGATTTACTATGTCAGATGATTTTATGTAAGTACTTGTCTGTTAAGACTTACCATTTACTGTATATACATCAAGAAATTTAAGATGCTTTGAAAAACAGCCAAATAATGCATCAATGCCTTCATGCGTATGGCCAACTGGTAGAAAGTTGCCCTTTATCTGAAAAATTAAAGGTTACATGCAATATTACTTTAACTTGTATATATACTGTATGAAACATAATTGAGATTCCTGTTGTGAAAAATTACTCCTTTGAAAACTTGTACATTATTAGTACAAGTACAAAAAAGCACACATGATCTAATTTGATCATTAGCTCAAGGTATTTTCTAAGCTTCACATACATTTTAGCTGCAATAATAAAGATATTGTTATTTTGAACCCACTAGACTATCAATCACTCATTACAGCACCAGGCAAAACTTCAAAAAACATATAGATGGGCCCACCTACAGTAAACCCTTTGTGGCTGTGACTAAATTGTATGGCTTTGTTTTAAAGGTATCTCATATTCGTATTTTAACTATACCTTGTCAAACACCGACCATTCCACCAAAAGAGATAATAAAGTTAAAACATATTTGTTTTTGTTTTCACGCCAGCAGTTGTCCAGTTGGAGATTAAGTATGGGTGGTAAACCATAGCGATCATTGAACAGTGCAAGAAGTTTGATGAGAATGTTCATTGTTAGATTGCTGTCATGTTTCCATTGAAAAAGGTCAAACATACCATGGAATAATTTTCCCATGGGACACAACCCACTAAGATCAGCTTACACCCTTCTAAGTTTTTAAATGTTTTCCGTTATTATGATTTTTGTCGCTAATTAGTATAAACGTTTTTATTGGTTGAGTTTTGAACCTTTTAACAATGAAAAATTCCTCAGTTACCTACGGCTTTGTGTTCTCGAACGCTGATTCGTTGAGCCGCGAAGACGCTATCACCTTGTATGACGCTATCACCTTGTATGACGCCAGAAAACCTTGCCAAAATATACTCTATTTCCTCTGCCAAAGACACCAGCAGTTTTGTTCAGCAAGGTTTATTCAGCAGTCAACAAACAGTATTTAAAAAAATGCCTTCTTTCAAATGGTCAATTCGAGTAAATGAGGACAAAGCGTACGTGTTTGTCAACGGTATTCGGCCATCCAAAAATAGTGTAGAATATTCGCATGTTCTGCGCGCTGAAGTGGGAAAATTTAAGAATCGCGTGGCTGTAAAGGTATGATTTTTAATTTTTTGAGTTTCTCACTGTGATTAATATAAAGATAATATATATATTAAAGGGTATAAAGGGTAAATATGGTATTATATACTGTGGTATTGGTCTCTACCTGCTGAAATGAGATGCTGCGTGCACCAGCGACCTTTTGAGTCCTAGTTTTATATGTTTGTTGTAACGAATTAATAACCATATTGGCACTAGTTGTATAAAAATACAGTAAGCGATTTTTAAAATACTTTCCCCCACTCACTATAGTCCAGCGCCTAACTGCGCTTTCTGGGGTGTCATTGCCTTGAAAAAATCTGATACCTTCAATATCTGATATAGTTTAACTACAAGTAAAATCTCCTACCGAGGTTCACTTAGCTTTCGTTTAGCGTTCACAAGTCATATACCAAAACGCACGCCGTAACATAATCGCATGAAATTTAAATTTCATTATGAAGTATACACCCATCAAAATTAATATGGCTAAAGCCAAGGTTTAGTAATAATGGACTGTTATAGTTTATAAAACTCCATATTGAGAGCAGTCTGACTGAAATATAAAGTTTTATAGTTTTACAATGTTTAGCAGATTTCTATCTTGAGGTTGCAAAGTATAAATGATAGAATTCTGACAGTCTATGATAATGCTCGTGCTAGCTTTTCTAAAACAAGGAATGGCGCCTCGGCCCTCAGAAACCACCTATTTTACGACGGGGCGATAATGATTCGAGTTTGAGACTATAAGTGCATGACTGGCATGCCTTTAATTGATCAGGGCGTATATAAGATAGGGCCATAGATTAAAAAATGAATGATAGGGCGGTGAAACGGTGATTTGGGCCCTGATCTACGTATGATGCGTGGGACCCCTGAACTGATCTCGCTAATCTCGCTGACCTCGCGCGACCTCATGTCGTCTGAACAGTCTTATATTATGACAAGGTACGTCATAGCGCGAGGTCAGCGAGATCAGTTCTGGGCCGCCTATGGATAAACAAATATCCATTTCTACATTTAAGCCTTAAAATAACACAAATAGCTTTCGGTTAGTTGGAATTTTACATGCGTAAATTCTACGTCGTGAAAGATTAGTGATTAAAGTTTTAGGAAAATGATTCAGTGTTAAACACAAAGTCAGCTTTTTTAAAATTAATTTAAAACCCTTGGTCCAAGGGTTGGAAACTTAGTCCTAGCATTTGTCCCTGTAAAATTTTTACACAGAAATATTGCTAGTGTGTTATAAACTGGGTACTACACAATGAATGAGCGCGTTATGGATGATAGTTTCACCTATTATGCTTCAAATAATGATGCCAGCTATCCGTACTATATTAATACTGTATTTTGATTGATTCTATGTAAAAATTATTATTTTATTCATATTTTATAGTTGATTTTCGTTCGAGGGGCAGATGGCAAAAGAGAACACTGTTTCTTCTCCACAGGGAAATATGACTGGTCAGCAAGCAATGGGCTTTTCCGCGAAATTGTTGCGACTGAAAATGAGCAACAATGGGCTGCAAAATGCAATGAAGCCATTGAAAAGTTAGAAAAGCAAGATTGCGCTAATGATGGTCAAGATCAACAAAATCAAGGTGGATCCAAGGATTCCGAGCCTGTTTTAATCACTAATGAAGATGAAGCTATAAATTTAAAAAGGGGATCTTCATCTCTTGTGGAACAGCTGAGTACTCCTCTAACCAAGAAAAAGTGTCAAGATGAAGAGGCCAAAGAATTACAATACCAAACAAGAGCAAAAGAATGCGAAGTTGGTATGTAGAAATTAAATATATACATATGATATTTTTTGTTGAACCACTAAACCACAATGAATGTTAATTAATTTTTTACAGAAATTATCAAGTTTAAATTAAGGCTTAAATTATCAAGTCATTTTCTTAATTAAAATCCCTGCTACACAATTACTTCTTTCAATGACCAGCTTTTTTTGCCCAATGGTTTCCTTTTTACCATTCTAGCTTACTCAAGTTGTATAAGTGCACCTTCATTTGGCAGTAATATCATGCATGTCTTTTCATAACTTTGAATAGATGAGCAATTCTATGTTCCGGTTGGCAATATTGAACTACCTCCAGCAGACAGAATGATCAGGAAAGTGGATGAAATATTTTTGGCCCAATTAAAGGAAATATGGAAAGTAACCCCAATGGCTCATATGAACCTCTTTACTTGTTGGTAAAAGGTCTGAACAGAAAGGAGAACTTTCAAAATCAGATGTCAGCAGCTATCAGTATGAGGTACTTGGTGGTACGCATAACTTGTTGGCAACAAAGCAACTTTTAGAGAAGCACCCTGATAGTGAAGAGAGTATAAGGGAAGATATGCAAGAATATTTGTTGGTTAACAAATTTTGAAGCTTTATGGCTGGCGTCAAGGCATAATAAGACTGGGTGTTTCCGTCATGAAATGACATTCAAAGATGAGGCAAGTTCTGTAGAAAGGCAATTCTAATATTGTTAAATATTAAGAGGGAGTGGTTGTTTGTTATAGTTTAACAGTCAGTCAACAAGTTACTTAAGGAACCCATTAGTGTCACAGTAGTAATGAGTACCCAACTTCTTAACTTATTCAACTTTGCTTTGTCAAATACCAGAAATTTTTCTCAAGTACATACCAAAATTGTCAATGGTAAATTATTGGTTATAGTGGTCTGAGTTACTTACGATAATAATTAGCAGTAATCTGCCACAGGCAATTGCAGTAGAAACTACCAAATTATTAATTGCAGCAGCAATCATTTGGGTGATTTACCAGTCAGTGGGTTAAAAAAGCTGTGATCACAAACATTTTTTTATTCTGCTGTAGGTGGAAGTTGCTCACAGGCAGTTGGAGATCATTGGTACAAAAAATGAGAACAATGATTTAGTTCCTAGTCAGCAATGGAGAGACAGATGTTCCCACATATTAGGAAAGACAGTGAGTAAACTTTTTAGTTTATTTAATTTGTAATATATTGTGAACACCAGGTGATTTTGCTTGCCAGTGAAAGTCTTGCCACCAGTGAATGGGTTATCAAAAGAAAGCAGATGTAATTATAGTCTGTACTAAACCTAAACCTGTTTAATGAAATAATTTTAAATTAACTTGCTGATCAATAAAGCACTTACACTGAGTAATTAATATTCTTGTTAAATGTTGTACTTTTTTTAGAAGAAAAATCTTTCTGATGTATTTCTTGTTGCTGCTCTCCCAGAAGATGGTTATCAGTCATTCCTTGAGATGTGCCGAAAATATGAAAAAGGTCTTCTTAAAGACCAGCGAGCAATGGCAAAGGACCTACAAGAAAAGCCGAGGTTCAAGCCATCATACATCAAATGCTTATTTGGCCTCGACGTTTCAGATCGTGTTACTCTGTTGGGTCAGGTATCTGTTAAAAATTTTATTTACTAATTAACCACTTAGTTTATTAAAATATAATTGTGCCCTTTAAATTAAATCCAATCATCTTTCTAAATCTGTTGTTTTTTTTTAGGTTGCTGACCAAAGTAACAGTCTGGATGAACTGAAATTATTGTGCAAGGAGTGCAAAGTACTGAAGCCTGTCCAAAAAGTGATTTCTTCATTTCTTGGATGTAAATGGGAATTGCTTAGTGCAAAATTGGGAGAGAAAGTCAGCGTTGACCAGTTAAGGAAATTTACAGTAAGTATACAGTATGTATATGTATTGTATCAGGCAGTTTGATATTTTGATCCAGGTTTGTAGAATGGAAAATATCCGCTCTTCTCTCTATGCTGAGGTTGAGTATTTGAACTGACTTCTAAATTAATAATTCAAACTACTAGAAACATTTCAAACTACTAGTAGCTTGAAAATAAACATTAAATCAGCCCTGCTACATGTTCCTTGGGAGATTTCAATTTTCAATTCTGCTACCTATTTGATGACCATTTTAGTCTGCAAATATTTTCCTGTGTTTCGCACATTCAGTAGAGCTGTGTTTCTATTTACTAGGGAAAAGATGAAACCAGCCTTATTTTCAGACAATACTTGGAATATCTGCAAAAGAGTCTGACCATCGAGGAATCAGACCAGCCACTAGTTGTATCACCCAATGTATTTCTGATGGACCAGGGAACAAGGGGCGTTGTCCACATGTGTGTTGACCCACTGGGACTGCAGCAAGGGTCATACGGGCAAGAAAAAGGATTTTCATTAGCCTTATGTAAGCTTTCACCACATCAGGTACAGTATAGTGATGTAACATTGACCTAATGCACCAATAGTACTGTATATGTACAACTGTGATAATTGTGAAAAAGGTGTATACTGAACATACTTTCTTTTTCACAATGATTTTTTTAGAAAATGATGTGACAACATTTGCTGCAGGTTTGCTGGACCTAGTGGACCGTTTAAATTTTGGTGTGTGCCACATTTTCAACGTAGCAATAATGGGGGATATCCATCAATTAATGGAAATAAAAAATGGATCGAGGAACACCGTGGAATCTGCGAACTTGGTTTCGCATGTGTTAAAGGAGTTAAACCATCAGGTATATATTAGCATATTAACGGGCAATGTATTCATGTTTAAAATAGTAAGATTTTAATGTTCACGTTTACGGCAAAGGGATAACCGTGTCTGTCGTAGAGAATTTATGCCTCAATTTTAATTCGCAAATGCCCGAAGCTCTATCATCTAATAATTGGCCCCAAAATACTATCTTCAATAGTTTGTCGATTGCAGCTAGCCGCATGTCTGGTGTAATTGTCAATCGTAAGGTCCTTAATCACTTTGTTTAATCCACCTTTTGGGTTTCTGCTCACCATAGATTATTTTGTTAAAACAGCATCCTGGTATTTTCTAGAGGTTCTTGCGATGCAATGTTTTTATTTTATTTTTGTAACAAAATTTAGTTAAACTTGTCTGCGTTTGTTATTTCTGCCATTCAACTGTAAAATTAGAAGTTCAAATTCACGTACACTCGAAAATACGTCAAATTTACACGCATAAAAGCATACCTACTGTAAACTGTAACCGTATTTTGCAATGCATACAACAAAATTAACTTACGCATTGTTCCTGCATTTTACAGGTCCTAGCCTTGGTATGGTACGGGCTGTAGAGGGGTTTCTCCTCTACCATGCGGCGCCTGGGCAACGGCTGCTGCAAGATCATTTTAATTTCACTGCCTGCACTGAGAATTTTAATATTGTAAGTCAAGAGCACAAGGAGTTGGAGGTGTGGCATTCTGTAGTTGAAATGTTCAGTAGACCAGGCGATTGGATTCTTGACATGAATACGCCACAAGGTATGCAATTATACCAGTACTGATGAAATACTAATAATTTTATTATGCACTGTTCACATTGTTGCTGCCGACTAGTTACAATGAATTATCTGGAAACAACAGGTGTAATCGTGTTGTTAATCGTTGATACAAAAAAATAATTTAACTTAACCGCTTTTACTGTGAAGTTTCACTTTACACTGTTCTGATAGGTGGCGGATTCAAAGGACATAGTCAATCGTCTAGTCAGTGGTGAAGGTCATTTCTGTTCGTAGTGGTTTATTCAACTATCTCAGCGCTTTGAACTTTATTTAGAAAATTTCTTTTGTCTTATTTAAATGTTAATTAGGCTTTTCGTCAAGTTGACAAAAATTTCGAGAAACTTTCTTGTTAATGCAAAATTGAAACCGTTCAATATGGGAGCTAAAATGATAAGGTTGATTAGCTGTGTCCCATTATGCAACTTTACACTATCATTGGATCACTAGCTTTCTTCCTTCAGTTTATTCACCTATTCGCGCAGCATAATTTAAAGTAGTTTCCCGTAAAAAACATAATTAAATGTTATGCAGTATAACATTCCAACTAAATTGATCTATTTTTGTGACTGTTTCAGTTGCTGGAGCTGCTGCAGCCATGAAGGAAGGCAGGAATGTTTTATGCTTAACACCAAATGAAGAAGAAGCAAGGAACGTATTGCGCAAAATTTTGTGATTTGAAAAACTAATTATATATAATTCTATATACATGCATGATTCTTTGCATTTGACTTTAGTATTTTGGTTGTGATATGAAGGTCTGCAGGTAAACTAAATTTTGGCAGACTCAAGTCGCTTTAGGTTCTGGAATTCAGCTGCCCAATTTTTCACTGGTCGGTTTCGCTGCATGCATTGTCGGTTGATAAATAAGATTTTGACAGAATCAAGCCGTTTTAGGTGTCTGCTGTTGAAAACCCATAAAACGTTGATCGCGGACTAAAATTTGGCTCTAAAATCTCATCTCTGCTTAGATATGTTTGATTTATGAATTATGCACATATGATTTAAACAAACAGTCAAACCAATATTTTTCTGAAATTGGGCTACACTCTGAAAAAGTGCTTTTTATTTCAGTACACGATCGGTGACAGTACAAACTGAAATTCAGCCTTTAATCTCGGTTCATTTAATTGTTTATATCAGATTTGTGACAAACTCACGCCGTTTATGGCGTCTGAAATTTAGCTTCTCAGTTTATCGCTTGTCGGTTAACATAAGATTTTGAATTTTTGGCAGGCTGAAACCATTTTAGGTGTCTGAAATTCAGATACCTTATTCATCTCAGGTCGGTTAAAATATACGATTTTGGCAGACTCAAACCGTTTAGGTGTCTGAAATTCAGATACCTTATTCATCTCAGGTCGGTTAAATATAAGATTTTGGCAGACTCAAACCGTTTAGGTGTCTGAAATTCAGCTTAATTTATCTCAGGTTGGTTAATTAAAATATTTTGAATTTTGGCAGACTCAGACCGTTTTAGGTGTCTGAAATTCAGATACCTTGTTTATCTCAGGTCGGTTAAAATATGCCATTTTAGCAGAATCAAACCGTTTTAGGTGTCTGAAATTCAGCTTCCAAATTTATCGCTTGTCGGTTAACATTAAAATATTTTGAATTTTGGCAGACTCAAACCATTTTAGGTGTCTGAAATTCAGACACCCTATTTATCTCAGGTCGGTTAATATACACGATCTTGGCAGATTAGAGCCGTTTTAGATGTCTGAAATTCAGCTTCCCCATTTATCATTTGTCGGTAATATATAAGATTTTGGCAAACTCAGATTTGTTTTAGGTGTCTGAAATTCAGATACCTTATTTATCTCAGGTCGCAGTTGATAGAATGATGTCTCGTTTAGTTCAATACGTTGTTTTTGGCAGAGTCCCTAAAAACTGTCTGCAAAAAACGCCAATTTGATTTCATAAATTAAAATCTTTGAATTTTTGTTTTTTTTCATCAATTTTGCGGAAAAAAAATAGTTTGGAATTATTGAAAATAGTTTGGAACGCGTTTACAGCTTTTGCACGCTCGTGCTCCTGACATTATTAACGAACAAGACGTTGAAATTAATCGCGTTTCTTCTTTACCGTTGGCTGTTACCGTATGCGCCAGCACTGAACCAGAAACTGGCAATTTCAGGTTTTCGACCCTATCACCGTCACGTTTATGGATCACATTACCCAAGCAAGGTGATGCTGAATCCACAAAGCGAATGACTGTTTCAAGTGTATAATAGGTTAGAGCAAAATCACGACGGTATCCTTTAAGTGATACTGGCTGTCCATGCGTGCGTATTGTAATGTTTGATTGACTAACGCTACCAGTTATTTCATACACTAGGCGTCGACCATCTATAGTTGCTCCTGCTTGCGAAAACGGAGCCTTCATCAATGTAAATTGATCAATGTTGGATCGTTCCAGAATCCATCCTTCCCTCTTGGAGGACAACTGTTTTACTTTGTTTAGAGTGTATTCATCTAGCGTTCGAATAATATCCGCATCTTCTTCGAAAACTGGTCGCTTTCTCAAATTGCGGTATCCCGAACCCATTTTAGAAGAAGAAGAAACTTTTTTTACTTCACCACCCCAAATACTGCTTATAGCAACTCCAATCTGCCGTTCAGTGATGTTAAGGTGTTCGTTGTCATTCTTTCTGGCTTCTTTCATGATCGACATTATGGGAACAAAATCACAACCATTGTGCTCATAATTGGCGATGATCCTAGAATCGCAATTAATCAAATATGTCAAATACATTTTCCGTATCAATCTCTTCTCTCATATTTCCCCCTATTCTCTTCAAAAGGAGCTATGTATACAATGTGTGCATTGAGCAAAATGTCTTTATCATAAAAATATTTCTTTTTTTTTTGCTGAAAGGCTATCTCTTTGTGGATGATGCTATTTATGGTCTGACGATTTTAGAACAAAGCTTGCACTCGTGCATGCGCAGTCCAAAATTCCATAGCGAGGCGCGAGCATGCTGTTTTTTATAGGTTTCCGTTGGAAGTGCATTTCAACTGATTTTTCCTTGTAAATTGAAGGTTTTTTCAAGTTATTACATGGATGACCGACTCCGTTTATCATCAGAAGGTAAGAATATTCAACAGGAGTTGTTTCAGTCTTTTTAGGCATAGCATAAAGTTTATTTTTCATGTTTCTAAAATTTACTTCATGGTCAAAAAGTATTCCAGTTCGAACGATGCAAATATCACGATGCATTTGATGCAAGTTTATAATTATACAGTATGTATATACTCAACAATTTGATTTTTTTGGCGTTTTGATTGTTTTATCGTTGCTATTTCAAAGTCAGTAAGGTTCTTCATGTAAATTTCGACAAAGTGGGATAATATTTTACTGTCTTGTTTTTTTTTCAGTGAAAAACATGCATGATGGCGTTGACCCCAGGGTCAACGATGAAGAACAAGTTTTAATATATTATTCAGGTGCATGAAAATGTTTTCTTGTTTTTCCCATACGAGTCAACATTCAACTGATCTTTTTCAAGGTAGCTTCCACGATTCAGTTGCAAAAAAGACGCTTAATTTGGCTGGCTGTACGCGTGTATACGTATTAAAAGTGGGAAAAACTTATTTCATTATGGAAAATTGGACGAACATTCATATACCATTATATTTCATCGTTTTGATCTCTTATACATTGGACCTCTGGTAGCTATATCGGATCTTTCCTGTTTGTCTTCTTATACAAAGAAATGGAAAAGCGAACAGGGACTTTGTTATCATCGCAAGTTCATAAAAGCTAGGTTAGCTATAAAAAGTATATTTTCTTGTGAATTGTATTCATTTCGCGGGGGGGGGGGATTATTATCAACGACTATAAATAATCACTTACCTTTGAATGTTTTATATCTTAAACGGCAGATCATGAGGAATATTTTCACGTTTTTGTCATCAAAAATGACCATAGAACAGCCGCGAGGCATTTGTCCTTGCCTCGCCTTGCTCATCCAGCTTATAGCTACTGCTTTTATTAATAGGTCAATTATTGTGAGTTCCGATTAAATTTTAAAGCGCTCAGTATTTACAAGTTAATATAAGCTGATAAGAAATTATTAGACCAAAGTTATACGACCAAAATTATGTTTTCATTCACTTTAATTGAGTTGTGCATTTTTTACGACATTGTATAAGTTTATCAGTGGCACAAATTATGACTTATGTTTAAAAACAACGATAATGGCGGCGACTATATATACAGTATATGCAAGCCGAGCAAGAAGCACAAAACAGAAATTAAACATAAAAAAGAAAGGTTTTGTAGAATATACAATAGTCAAACGCAAAAGATCATTTTATGACTTTACTTACCACATATAAATTAGTCCGTGAAGATCCACAACCGGGCTTTTGTTTTCTACTCGCTGCATTTCCACTGGGAAACTAATGTTTTCAAAAAATACTACGCCATATAAAGTATTTTTTATCCGTAAAATCATGAATCAAAACACATTTTTATACTTACTGAGGTCATCTATTTCCTCCACATTTACATAGTTTAGATATAAGATGCTACGAATTCTTGGGTTTTTTAATTGTAGACTTTTTAATTAATTACATGACTGTTTGTTTCCTTTGCGCATCAACGAAACGAAAATAGCTGTACTACCGGGCATAAATGACTATATAGCTTTCTTTGACCAGGCTGGCCAGATGTAGAAAAACGTCTTAACACCCCCCTGATTTGGATTTTTCACAGTTTGATGTAAATTTCAAAAGCCAATGAAATCTTGCCGTCGTCATTTAAACAGAAAACCGGTATCAGGTGAACTGTACCACGCATAGTCACAGCGAAAAACTCCACAAAATAATGAAAAACTTTGCCGATTTTTCATTATTTTCAGTGCCGTTTTTGAGAAAAAAATTAAGCGGTAGTTT